TGCACCCCAATGTTCATCGCAGCACTGTTTATAATAGCCAGGACATGGAAGCAACCTAGATGCCCATCAGCAGACGAATGGATAAGGAAGCTGTGGTACATATACACCATGGAATATTACTCAGCCATTAAAAAGAATTCATTTGAATCAGTTCTAATGAGATGGATGAAACTGGAGCCCATTATACAGAGTGAAGTAAGCCAGAAAGATAAAGACCAATACAGTATACTAATGCATATATACGGAATTTAAAAAGATGGTAATGATAATCCTATATGCAAAACAGAAAGAGAGACACAGATGTACAGAACAGACTTTTAGACTCTGTGGGAGAAGGCAAGGGTGGGATGTTCAGAGAGAACAGCATGAAACAAATATACTATCAAGGGTGAAACAGATCACCAGCCCAGGTTGGATGCATGAGACAAGTGCTCAGGGTTGGTGCACAGAGGGATGGGATGGAGAGGGAGGTGGGAGGGGGGATCGGGATGGGGAACACATGTAAATCCATGGCTGATTCACGTCAATGTATGGCAAAACCCACTACAATATCGTAAATTAATTAGCCTCCAACTAATAAAAACAAATAAAAAAAGAAGAAAGAACACTTTATCACGCACTCTCCTTTTTATTGTAATAGTCTAATCAGCAAGTCTAGCTTGCTGCCTGTACACTGCTTTCACTTATTCAGATTCTAACCCCACTCAATGCAATGTTTGCCCTCTGGAGACACCTTAGAACTGAGTCTAAAAAGCAACGGATGGAATTGCTAAACACAATGACCTGTGTGATTTGAAAAAGTATCTTTCTTTGAAGAACATGGCACATCCTTTCAACCATTCTTCTTTCAACCTAATTCTAATAGTAGGGGAGATAAAGAAGCTTCATGCATCCCTTTAATAGAATGTTATTCAAGTCTATGCACTTTTCATTGGTACCTATACATAATGGTACAGTGAGATTGGATGGCTACTATTTTGCCCTGAAATGCAGAGATAGCTTGACATGGTCAGAGAAATCCATAGATCTGATGTGTGAGACTTCAAGGCATCAGACTCTCAGAGCAGGAGGCAGCTTGCTTAGAAGGAATTCTCTTGACTCTCAGGCAGAAGTCAGAGAAATAGGAGCATCTTATGGTTTCCTAACCTAGACAAGAAGACTGCCAGGAGGAAGCAGAAATAACTCTTGAATATTGTGAGACTTTTATGCCCATTTCAGTGCTTTTCTCTTTTCCCCTGAAAGAAGACTGAAATGACTAAAGAGTAATTTTTTTTTTAACCCCAAAGGTTTACTTTCTAAAATAACTGTTGGTTAAATGACTCATTACATGAGTTTTAGAAAAACAGGAATTATACAAAAGTACTACCACAACAAAGAAACACATCAAACTGTCCACGTGGTTGAAAACGGCAGTATAAAGTATGGGATTCCCAAGATGGAAGACTTATAAGGTCAAATAAGGAAGTGCTAGTTTTTGCGCATTGCTGTGTGAATGTAAAACAAAGCTTTATTTATTTATTTGAATTTTCACCAAATTTGGAGATATTCCATGTGATCTGACTTAAAATGTTATTATGGAATAGAAATGAAGTTTAGTCTGGTGAGTGGGCAGGCAGCACCTCTAAGAGATAAGTCTCCTTCTCTGCAGATACAGATGTGCCAAAAAGCTGCTTCTGCACATGGTCAAATAGGGATTATTAATTCAGAGACAGTTCTGTTGTTTTCCTGAGCCATAATGGGTTGGTTAACTAGCTGTATAAATATGAATAATCAATGTTTATTTAATATTCCACACCACGATTGTGAATTAGTCATGTCAACATTTTTTAATCTCTTACTAAAAAAGAGATGTCTTGAGGAAGCTATATTGAGTACATATATTTCACAAAGAGAAAATAAAAAAACTTTTGAAAAGAAAAAAAAAGTTCTGTAGCATATGCTAAATATTTTAAATTATTTACACATTTGCCTCCTATTTACAATTTTGCCTCCTAATTTGGTTCTGAAATTCTGCTTTAAGTTCAAATAGAAAACACATGTGTTCATGCCCTTCTGTCAAAAGATGGTATGTGATTTTTAACTTTTTGTTGTCTAATTCCCCCAATTTGGCAAACAGTGTATTGGAATAATTGTGAGATGATTTATTTCCTTGTAATGTTCAAAGTTTTCATCAGTGTTTTCATCTTTGCTGTCAGACCACTGCTTTTTCTAGTAGGCTAGTGTCATTTCACCAAGGTTGGAGTCTATCTACTTAAACCAAGAGGCTATTATTTTTCGTAAAACTAATCATGTCTATAACTGACAAAACTTTCCACTTCCAGTCATATTTCAGGATATTCTTGCTCAGAATAGTTTTGTTTCTACAGATAATACATAGAAGACAAAAAAAAAAAAAAAAGAAGGTTGAGGAACATGCTATCCCTGGGCTAGGAATAAAGACATTCCAAAACATCTGGCAAAGATCATGAAATTTCATTTGAATTTTAGCTCATTTGAATTTTTGCAGCAGTTTCCCCCTCACAACCACTAAACCAAATATGGAATGACTTATTCCTTTTGGCTGTAGTTGTTTTGGTACTAACTAGTTCTGAGAGCAAGGTGATCACACCAACCATGGGCGAGTTATCATTCTCTCCCACCCAGGCACTAACTTGGGTCCTGCCGCCTAGCTCTGGACAGTGGGTGCACACGGGCACACAGAGGGTGCTACAAAAATGTAAGCTGAAACAAGGATGGAGGCAGCAGTAAACCGATGCCCGTTTTAAATGGTTTTAGCAACACTGCTCAACGTGGTCACCACTGGCTTGCCATCACATGCACCCTGTTATCTCTAAGTCACCCAGATAACTGCAGAAACCAGCATGACCTTTGACTTCAATCATCCAGACAGTCAAAATAAAACAAGCCCTCTCATTTCAAGTCACACTGTGGATATCTGGCTCCCAGACAGCATCATGCTGAAAAGGTAACTAAAACTGAAGATATATTTATTTTAAATACTTATTGGGCTCAGTAGGTCTCACCCCAGAAATGGAATCTCAAAAAAATCCACTGATCTTTTCCCATATTGCCCATCCACTCAGCCAGCTTAGGACTGGCATGAGAACCCCATTCATAGAAGACCATAACCTGGAAGAGTCATCCCTGAGATACTCTTTTGTTAATAAATAAGTCAGAAAATCAGTGTCCCGTTGAAGAAATAATAAAAATTATAAATGTCACCCGGTTTTAAGACAGCAGAAACGGCTCTCAGTAAAAACAAAGACTGAAATTCCAAAGGACAGAAAGGTCTGTAGCACCTCTCTCAGCTGTGGAACCAGAGCATGCATGCCAACCTGCAAACGCACGTGTGGTGATTTCCTACCTTAAATACATTGATAGGGAGATCAATGACCACATAGATAAGGTCTCCAAGGGCAAGGCTGGCTATCAGCGCGTTGGGGCCATTCCTCATGCACTTGTTCTGGTAAATGATCCTGAGCAGGGTTGCATTCCCCACCATTCCCACGATGAAAATAGTACATGATATCACAGTGTTAATGTATTTGAAAGCTGAAGTAATCTTAGTCTGTTGTGGGCAATAGTTGTGCATTGAGCCATTGCTGGGGAGGGCCAGATTCGTGGGTTGATGAGTGGTAACCACGAAGCCAAGTTCTGTCCCACGGAAAGTGGTGACACTGTCCATGTGGATGCTTAGGTTTGTGCTGTAGCTTTCAGGGTTATCACTGATGACACCTCCAACCAGCGCCACCCAGAAGGACACCCTGAGCCAAAAGGTTTCCATCTCGATGCAAATTTCAGGAAATGTCACTTAATCTGTTGATTTGACACTCTTTTTTTTTTCCTTTCTCCACCTGGAAAAAGAAAAGAGAAAAAATGATTTTGGTTACAAATTCAGCTGCCAGTAAGATTGCAGTTAATGATAATTTACTGCTTCAATTAAAAAGCAGGATTTATTTGGTAAGTAGATAAGATAACATCTGTGTCAGGTTACCCCGTGGCAGAACAAAAGCAGACAAGATCAAAGCTCTCTATTAGGGCAAGTTAAATCTCTGTATTTCTGCCTCTGCCTCTGCCTCTCTCACCTCTCTCCATAGCTATACCTACATCTGGGGCTTCCTGGGTGGCTCAGTGGTAAAGAATCCACCTGCAATACAGAAGACGCAGGAGATGCCTCAGGTTCAATCCCTGAATTGGGAAGATCCCCTGGAGGAGGCATGGCAACCCACTCCAGTATTCTTGCCTGGGAAACCCCACGGATAGAGGAGCCTGGCGGGCTATAGTCCATAGGGTCGCACGGAGTTAGATATGACTGAAGCAACTGAACGTGCATGCACACATCTACATCTAGATTATAATATGAATGAGGACTTGACAGTTTTTCCTTTAAGTAGTATAGAAGAAGTTACTTTCTTTTCTCCCTTACACTTAGGTTGATAGCCTGAGTTACAGAAAATCTTCAAGAATTGAGATAACAATATTTTATTTACTAATGGAAAAGATATTACATACTGAGTGAAAGTCATATAATAGTAAGGCATAGAATCACCAAATTCTATAATTAACAATCTAGTATTTCAACATGTGTGCTGTTTTCAATGTGGTAGAACATAGAAATAAAATGCAGCTCAGGGAGCTATTAAGTATTAAGAGATGTTCATTGAAAATCAGAATGTGATTAAACCATCAATACATTTAATAATCTTAGTCAATTAAAAATAAGATAATTGATAAAGACAGAATATCTATTTTATTAAAAACCTGGATGAATAATATTTTTTATTTTCCTTTTTTTTTTGGGGGGTGGGCATTGCATTCACGTGGGATCTTAGTTCCCTGATCAGGGATTGAATATATGCCCCCTGCTTTGGAAGCGTGGAGTCTTAACTGCAGGAAGTCTTAACCACAGGTCTTAACCTTCAGGGAAGTCCAATCTACATCCTCTAACAGGAGTTTTTTTGCTCTTCCATTTGTCAGAAATTACTATATTTGTCAATGAGTAGAACTAGGAGTAATGGACTTTTCCAGACCAGGTGTACTATTTGATTTTTCAAATATCCTTTATATATTCTTGAAACATCCTTTATAGCTACATTGATTCTGACCAGCCATTCACCACGTTGAACACTTTACACATGTGATGTCATCTCATCCATACAATGACCATGAGAACCATATATCTGTTTCCATTATAAACACAGGGAAACGGGCTCAGGAAGGTCTAGTAGCTTGTCAAGGCCATAGCTCATGTGGCCCTTCTATGACACCAAGGCAGGTGAGTCTGACTTTGAGTCTGAGCTCCTAACTGCTAGACTGTACACTCACTTAGCACTGAAAATGTTCAACAATGTTTCCAGCATTCTGAAGAAGCAACAGACATTGCAGGATGCCTAGATATGATTTCAAAAGACCATTTCATTGTTTTGTTTTAGTCACTCACAGAGGGAAAGTGGTCCTTCTTGTTCAGGAAGTCTATATTTCTACTTCAATGCTTAAAGAAAAGATGCTGGGAAAATGAGGGAGGTTGGTGATTACACAACAAACATGGCTCTTCCCATTTTAATATTTTGGATATTTTCTGCGAGTTTTTGTGAATCTTTGATTTATGATGTGTGTGCATATGATCAACACACCCAGGTCACAATTTAAGTTTTAAGAATTGTGTCCTTTTGAGTCTATCCATGGTTGATATTAACGTTACATTTTTAGGAGTTTGACAGTTATCTTGATTATTAATAAAGCTTAGGACTTAGTCAATATATGAAGAAATAAGATTTATTCAAGGTGTAGAGAAGGTTTAAAGTAAATGTAAGGTGCAATACTGTATACTTCTGCCTTCCCCAGAGATTTTCTCCTCCAGGAATCTGAATTAATAAAAATATTTGGGACTTCCCTGGTAGTCCAGTGGTTAAGACCCCGTGCTTTCACTGCAGGGAACATGGGACCCATCCCTGGTCAGGAAAGTAGGCCATGAGGCCAAAAAAAAAAAAAAAAAATGTACGTACTATGGTAATCTATTGCACACCTATTTGTTATCTGACTTGAACTTTACAACTCTAGGTAGGCAGGGAGAATATCATGAGGAAACAGCCTTGAAAAAGTTACATTTTTGTGAACAAGAAGTGGTAGGACAGGTATAACCCTTCACTCTAATGAATCATATGACTTGACTCAGTCTGATTAAATGATTAAAATATCAATTTGTCTAAGCTACAGGCATACTGGGCATACAGCTCTGCCCAGACAACTGTAAGTATTGGATTGGCCAAAAAGTTCATTTGGGTTTTTTGGTACCAGCTTATGGAAATGCCCAATGAGCTTTTTGACCAAGTCAAATAGTATGCAGTTTTCTTGTGTGTCTTTTTTTCCCTTTCTTCTTACAGTTTGGAGTATCTGACAAAATATTGATAGACCTATGAAACGCTGCTATTTCTGTTACACAGTGGTGATCAGGACTCCACTCCATACCACTCTAAGAATAAGGCATATTGTCATCCTCCTCTTCAGATCAGAGACGGAAAAAAGGAAATTCTTCAATATCTTGTGCTATTTAATGACTAATGCCTTCCAGTTTCCCAGTGGGAATGAATCTTAATAAGGAGTTTTCTTCAAAGAGACAGAAGGCCTTTCTCAGAAATGGAATGGCTCTTTGCCCATCACAGTCTGCTGGGAGGATATTTTCTGAACGGACCTGGCTAGGTGGTTCACAGAAGTAGCACTACTGTTTGAACATCAGCACTTTGGTTCACTTGGTGAGCTGATTACCGCAGGAGTTGAGGAGTCTTATCAAAGCTGTGGGTTCTTATCAAAGTGTGAGCTGGCTACCATAAAAACCACTTGCCTCCCTCCTCCAAAAGTGACACCACCATTTCTGAAGTCCTCTGGCTCAGCCTTGTCGGTACACACATGGAGCTGCAGAACTAAGGTATATTTGGCAAAGGCATGTGACTGCCATATCATCATTGGATGAAAGACACAAAACCAAAGGGAAAAAAAACCCTCTGAACTGCATGTTCCTCCAAGGATGAGTCTTAGCTCATCTCCATGGATCTAAGTCACACTGGCTTCAGATCATCACTCATCATCAGTCATAGCTCTAGCGAAGCCTCTCAGGTTCAGACCTGAAGGACCTGGTTTACAGATTCAGCATTCTTCATATTTGGGGTCTAAGGATTTGCTGGAGTTCAAAAGCTATTATGAGGCAAGAGGACTCTATCCTGATGCTTAAACCTTTTCACATCTGGGGACTCTCAGGATCAAAGTTCACCAAATTAGCGATTTGGAAATTCCAACCTTACCCACATGGCATGAGTTTAGAGCAGGTAATTTACATGAAATGATTGCCAAGGTATTTCTCAATTAGTTAACGCAAAACGGAGGGTGGGGGCGAGGGAGCCATAAATAATCTACAAGAGGGGGGAAAAAAAAAGAAAACCACAGATAAACTAGGAACTTTTAAATAAGTTCCCCACCACCACCACCACCACCCGCCCCCGACTTTGGTGGATTTTGCTCACTGAGTAAGAAATTAGTAACTCTCCTGACTGACGACGCCTGTCTTTAATATGCCTCCCAGCACACCCCCCTCTGACGCCAAGTACCCGGAATGCCATCAGGACGGCGTAAACAGAGGCTGATTATCTGGGAACGGCCCTTGTTTTCCGCACGTGAAGGGCAACAAGTGTCCCTTGAAGGAGGGCACAGAACAAAACGCCCAGACCTCCACGGCTGGGGGCGGGGGGGGGGTTCCAAAGTATCTGCCCTGGGGGTTCTCCAAACACATCTTTCCCAAACACATCTGCCCCTCACACCGGGTGCCCTTGGCTGCCCTTGGCACGTCCCGGGCGTGCGGTGGCAGCGGGCTGCGGGGCAAACTTCACAAGCCGGCTTTGGAGCCAGCGACACGGGCGTGATGGTCCACAAAGTTCTCGCACGCCTGGAAAAGGGAAACCCAGGTTTTCTTTTGACGAAAACTCCGCCGCCCGCCCGGGAAGGCTGAGGGGCTTTGGATCAGCTCCGCAAACCCCAAACTTTCCCGGGAGCGCCCCCGCCCAGGAAGGCGCCCGCGCAGCCACGCGCCCCCGCGGGCAGGTGATGCCAGCCCTGGTGCAGGAGGTGCCGGCGCCGGGCGACAACGCACGGAGGTCGCCTCTCCTCCCCACCCAGGGGCCCACCAGCGTCTCCTCCACCCGACTTGGGACCCCGAGAGGAAAGAGTTGCACCGACCGTGGAGCTCTGCGAGCTCAGACGGCTGCCCGGTCCGCGTGCGGCGCCCGGGCGAGTTGAAGCCGAGCAGGCGAGGGTGAATGGCGAGCGTCCCGGGATCCGGCGCGGCGGCGGCCCCGGCTGCACCGTTGCCTCCGCTTCGGAAAACTTCCTGGGCACGGCTTCTCTGGGGAGGTCCTCCCCGAGCCGCCAGGCTTCAGCCACCTGGGGGATGGAGCTTCTCCACCTCCTGTCCGCAGTCGGCAGACCAAAGGGCTGGCTGCGTGCGTGCGCGAGGGTTCGCAAGAAAAAGAAAACTCCGAAGGAACGCGCCTCGCGTCAGTCCTCGCCGTCTCCTCTCAAAGCTCCCAGATCTTCTACTCCATCTAGGGCGGCGAGAATGTCCCAGCCTTCCAGCCCTCCAGGGATGCAGCCACGCTGAAGCACTAGGCGGCCGCCCCCTCCCAGGCCCTGAAGGGCAGGAGTCTTTTTAACTATTTCCTTCCTGAAATGAAAGTGGTGGTGGTGAGGGGGCGGTCGTCGAGGAGGAGGGTAGTTTGACAGAGACCGGGAACTAAGGAAGGCCTTGCTGAGAAACCTTTCCCTCCCCAGTGAGTGCGGGCAGATTTGATCTGGATGGACCAACTGCAGAGTCAGGGGCCGGAACGAGCGGTTTCTGCTCTGCGTTCCCGGCCCCTTTGCTGGGCTTCTATGCTCCCTCTTAAGTTTATAGCAAGTTAAAGTGCTGGGAAAGATTGAAGGCAAAAGGAGAAGGGGGCGGCAGAGGATGAGATCGTTAGGTTGCATCACCCATTCAGTGGGCATGAATTTGAGCAAACTCCAAGAGATAGTGAAGGACAGGGAAGCCTGGTGTGCTGCAGTCCACGGGGTGGCAAAGAGTCCGACAGAACTTCGCAACTCAACAGCGACAAAGAGCCAGTGTGCACATCAGCTGACTGTATCAAGGCCGTTTTGTGTCTGTGTGGTCCCTTGAAGGCTATATACTACTGGCCCAGGGTAAAATGGGAGCTTCTGAAGAGATTGTGGAGGGGTCCAGCGTGTGGCTCTGAGAAACCTATGATTCCTCAAGAAATCCAATCAGGGAGGGTGCAGATGCTGCAGGAGGTGGGTTTCAACATTTTTAATTTAAATGGGAATATGAGAGAAGAGATGAGGCAGATGGGGAAAAAAAATAAAAACTCCTTAAAAAGGACACCCTTATATGCTCTTGATGGGCCTGTAAATTGGTCCAGCCACTGTGGAACACAGTAGGGAGATGTCTTGAAAAACTAAAAATAGAGCTACTACATGATACAGCAATTCCTAGGTATATCTCTTAGGTATATCTCTGAAGAAAACTGAAAACACTAATTCAAAAAGATACATACACCCCAGTGCATTATTTACAATCACCAAAATTTGGAAGCAACCCAAGTGTGCATCAATAGATGAATGGATAAAGAAGGTGGTGTTGTTCAGTCACTCAGTCGTGTCCGACTCTTTGTGACCCCATGGACTGCAGCACGCCAGGCTCCCCTGTCCTTTACCATCTCCCAGAGTTTGCTCAAACTCATGTCCATCGAGTTGGTGATGCCATCCAACCATCTTGTCCTCTGTCATCCCCTTCTCCTCCTGACTTCAATCTTTCCCAGCATCAGGGTCTTTTCTAATGAGCCAGCTCTTCGCATCAGGTGACCAAAGTATTGGAGCTTCAGCTTCAGCATCAGTCCTTCTAATAAATATTCAGGACTGATCTCCTTTAGGATTGACTGGTTCGATTTTGCAGGCCAAGGGACTCTCAAGAGTCTTCTCCAGCACCACAGTTCAAAAGCATCTGTTCTTCGGTGCTCAGCCTTCTTTATGTTCCAACTCACACATTCATACATGACTACTGGAAAAACCATACCTTTGACTAGATTGACCTTTGTTGGCTAAGTAAAGTCTCTGTTTTTTACTAAAGTACATATATATATTATGGAATACTACTGAGCCATAAAAACTCAAACATTTTGCCATTTGCAATATAGATGGATTCAAAGGATATTATGTATAGTGAAATAAGGCAGAGAAAGACAGGTACTGTATGTAATTACTTATATGTGGGATCTAAACAATAAAACAAACTAATAAATATAAGAAGGAAATGACAACCCACTCCAGTAATCTTGCCTGGAAAATTCCATGGACAGAGGAGCCTGGTGGGCTATAATCCATGGTGTCACAAAGAGTCAGACATGACTAAACAACAATAAATATAACAAAAATAAACCACACAGATATAGAAAATGAATTAGTGGTTACCAGTGGGGAGAAAGAGGAGAGATAAGACAGGAGTTGGGGATCAAGAAGTATAAGTTTCTATGTATAAAATAATCTACAAAGATACATAGCACAGGGAATATAGGTAATGTAATAACTTTAAATGGAGTATAATCTGTAAAAATTGTGAATCACTATGTTATATACTTGTAACTTACATAATATTGTAAATCAACTATACCTTGTTAAAAATCATGACAGAATATTTAATCATCTGATTGTTTAATATCAAGTAAATAATCAAAATAAAACATTTTATGAAAAAAAATTAATCAAGGGTTCCTTAGGGAAGACCTCACTTGGGAACCCTTCAGTGCACTGTTGGTGTGAGGCATGTTGTGGAAATATGAGTTTGGAGCACAGGTCACATTATATTCCAGACTGTTCTGATTTTCAGCTGCAGCTAAAGAAAAATCACCCTAAAATGGTAGTGGTTTAAAACAACATACCTTACTCATCAATCTGCAATTGGGGCAGGGTTTGGCTGGGACAGATCATCCTCTTTATTGGGGCTGGAGGCTCCACTTCCAAGATAGTTTGCTTTCTTGGTAATAAGTGTTGGGTTTTCTCCATGTGTATCTCCCTACAAAGTGGTTCATCTTTCCTCACAGAGTGGTGTCTGGGGTCCAAGAAGGCGTGTCCCAAGAGACAGGAAATGGTAGCTGCCAGTGTCTTAAATCTGGGCTTAGAAACTGATACAGTGTTACTCCTGCAGAATTCCTATTCCAGTTACTCCTATTAGTGAAGCAGTCACCAATCCCAGATTCAAGGTAAGGGGTTATCGACTTCACCGGTCAAGGCAAGGCGTGTCAAAGGATTCAAGGTTCGTTTTGTGATACTATCGAAGAGATCCACAGAATACCACCATTGGAAAGGACCTTAATAGTCATCTAGTCCAATGGACTGGGTATTAGCCTGTGCATTAATCTGTTCTATCTATAGCTTCCTCATAATGAAGAGTCAGTCAGTCAGAATAATTAATAGCTTTTATAAGTGCCTTTGTTTGCATTAAAAAAGGTGCCACTTCAGGCACATGGCTTAGCAAGCTGACAATATTTTCAGGGAAGAAAATGTCCTAATCCAGGGTTCAAACCTTGGCATGTGAAATGTGTTGATTTTCAGCCTTTATGTACCCTGTGACCAGATGCACTTGGATAGTGCATGACCTGCACAACTGAACACGCCAGCCTGTTCGGTCTCTGGTAGAGCACACCCGTCAGTCCCCGCCTGTGGGGACAGCTCATCCTGCTGTGCTACAGGTCTACTTATTCCAAGTTTTTTCTTTACACTCATTAGGATAGGTATTATCGAAAAGTAGAAAACAAGTGTTGGAAATAATGTGGAGAAATTGGAACCCATGTGTGTTGCTGGTGGGAATGTAAATAGTGCAGCAGTTGTGGAAAATAGTTTAGCAGTTCCTCAAAAAATTAAAGATAAAATTACTGTAATTCCATTTTGGGGTATATACCCAAAATAATTGAAAGCAGGAATTTGAACAGATATTCATAACTCATTTTCATAGCAGCATAATTTACAATAGCCAAAAGATGGAAACAATTCAAATGTCTATCTATGGATGAATGGACAAATGAAATGTAGTATATACATGTAAATGAAATATTATTCAGGCTTATAAAGGAATAAAATTCTGATACATGCTACAACATAGATGAAAGTTGAAGACATTATGCTAAGTGAAGTAAGCCAAATGCAAAAGGAGAACTATTGCACCTCATTTAAGTGGTAGTTATATGGGGTAGTTGGAATGGTAGTTGATATCATAGAGGCAGAAAGTAGAATGGTGGTTAAGAGGGATTCTGGGAAGGAGGATTTATTATTCAATGGGCTTCAGAGTTTCAGTATAAGATGATGAAAATGTTCTGGAGGTGGGTAGTGATGATGGTTGCACTTAATGCCACAACCATACATTTAAAAATGGTTAAAATGATAAATTGATTTTACATATATTTTACCACAATAAAAAAATTCTTCCTGACATTAAGATGAAATCTTCCTGCCTATAATATTATCTTTTGACCTCCTCTATAAGTTCATTAAAAAGCTTTCTGTCTCTCTGATAAAGATCTTCAGATACAAACAAATATGTTTATGTGGATCGCCAGCATAGATCTGCCTTTGTAAGACACTGGAGTTGCCTCATTCTAGGTGAGAACAATCCAAACCTTCCTTAGTTTTTGGAGATTTATTTTCTCATCCTCTCTGCTTTACTTTGGGGAAAATGACTTCAGTGGATTTTAAACCAGCTATTTAAATTACCTACCCTCTCCCCATAGCCAAGACTTTAAATACTTGCCCCACTTCTGTATTCTCTGCCTTGTACTTTTAACAAACATATAATTTATATTTTTGACCAAGTTTTTCAACTCAGCTCCCAAAGGTTGTTTCTTTTTCCTAGAAGGTGGATTGGGTGCAATATGCAGATCTTATAGGTTGCAGGGAGTCTTTCTCAGGTGCACTTGACTTCTAGTTCAAGCTGCTCATTAAGTGGAGAATTACTGTAGTGGCAGTTACAATGGTTTTTCTTAGCGTCATATTATCATTGATCTCCTGAAGAATAATTGCAGAAGATTAAGACATACTCAAGATAGCACTTAAAAAGCAACTTTTCATGTGTCCTTGGGGTAAATGTTCTTTGAATTTAAGTTCCTTGATTCAAATGTGCAGACCCATTTCATAATCGCTAATTCTTTAGCTCCTCAAATCTGAACTGCAACAAAGGATCTGAATCTCGAAGTGTTTGCTAGGAATGTTGTGTTCATTTTAGGGCTCCCTGGGGGCAATAAAACACGAAGGGTTCAGGGAAGAACCACGGCGATAAAGGCTGGACAGCTGGTTGTGAGAAGAGAGACTGAGAGATTGGGGAAGCGTACACCAGATCCTGAACCTGTTACAGCAGTTCTAAGCGTTGTCAGAGCTGAGACTTGCTGTCGGCAGTGAGTGTCACTGGTCTGGAGGCGAAAAAGCAAGCCCTGGGAGTTGAAGGTCCATTTTTAATCTAAATTCATATAAGGAGGTATTCGAAACTGTTGCTTTTTAAATAAATGAGTAATTGATTGATTATTTAATT